CTTTTCCAGACCACAATAGAGAGCTGGACTGGAAGAGGAGCAAGCAAGACTTGAACCAGCGGCTATATGGAAGGTGGTGGCTTTACCCACTATGCCACAGCACTGGCCCCATAAATAATTTCTACAAAAAAAAATAAGCATTAATCTTAAATATAATCTTACTATGAAATTAAATATGGTGCAAATAACTATCAAAGGTGGATAATTTAAATTTGTACAGTTATGTCACTTTCATGTAGAAACAGTTAAGTTTCCAAAAATTTGGCAGTTTTAATGCTACCATGGAAAGGAGACTTCTGTATTCATAACAACTCATTTTTAGAAACTTGAACTGTTTTGTTATCAGATGACTTCCACAAACTGGGCGTCTTGTTCAAATCAGGGCTTTAACTCCTTTTGCCTGCTTGTTAGTATAACTGCTGCTAAGCAACTCAACTCCCTGCCATTAGGCACTGAAACGCATACATTATCAGTCAAAATGAATAGAGTTACCCTCTGACCTGTGTTTTAATTTGCTTATTGTATTAAAAGCCATGGTAGATTGCAGAATTTTACAGGGTTACTTAAACTGCTTGTTTAGAGCAAACTAACTTTCAGGGTAGTTTTTCTTCTGGTGCTACTGTTTTTAGAGCATTGGTATAAGCTGTCTGTGCATGATGCTTCCTGCTAGTGATTCTTCCTTTCAAACCTGTTTTAGCCTTCCAGCTTCCTAACAAAGGTTTTATATCTGATGTTTGGTACATGTGCATTTGTAAAAGCCTTTGTCTTCTCTGATCCTATAAATCTGTCAGTTTGTTGAACAAGCAGCAAAAATAATTTCACTTCTCTTTTTTAAAGTGAGTTGTCCCATATTTGCTTCTTTTCTATGTCATTTTTTTTTAAAAGATTTATTTTATTTATTTGAAAGACAGTTACAGAGGCAGAGAGAGAGAGGTCTTCCATCCACTGGTTCACTCCCCAGATGGCCACAACAGCTGGAGCTGAGTCAATCTGAAGCCAGGAGCCAGGAGCTTCTTCCTGGTCTCCCCCATGGGTGCAGGGGCCTAAGGATTGGGCCATCTTCTATTGCTTTCCCAGACCCAGGCAGAGAGCTGGATTGGAAGTGGAGTAGCTGGGATTTGAACCGGTGCCCATATAGGGTGCCAGCACTGCAGGACAGAGCTTTAACCTGCTGTACCACAATGCCAGTCACGCAGACAGTTTCAACTATTTTAAACATTTGTTTTATAGCCTGTCACCTGAAGTTTTGTAGTAGTACTGTTTGTTGGATTTTTTCCTCAAGGAGGATTCTAAATTTTACAGTGTGAACTGTTTTGCAGTAAAGCCCGCTAAGGTTTTAATGTTTGTGTCCCCTCCAGAATTCATGCTGAAATGTAGTCTGTAGAGCAGCTGTATTGAGGTGAGGCCTATGGAAACTGCTGAGGTTATGACGACCCCACCTTCATGAACTGATGGTGCCTTATAGAGTGGCTAAAGGAAATCAGTTAGGTCCTTTTGGCCCCATTTACCCTTGTGCCTTTCACCATGTGAAGACCCAGTGACACAGTGCTGTTTTGGAATTATCTTATTTGAAAGGCAGAGTTACAGAGAGGTAGAGCCAGAGAGAGCTTCCATTCTACTGGTTCACAACCCAGATAACCACAATGGCCAGAGCTGAGCTGATCCGAAGCCAGGAGCCAGGAGCCAGGAGCCAGGAGCCAGGAGCTTCTTCTAGGTCTCCCATGTAGGTGTGTCTGGGCCATCTTTTGCTTTCCCAGGCGATAGCAAAGAGCTGGATTGGAAGAGGAGCAGCCAGGACTTGAACCGGTGCCCATGTAGGATGCCGGAGCTGCAGGCTGGGGCTTTAAGCTGCTGCACCACAGCACCAGCCCCAATATTTTTCCCTTTCTATTTATTTTTGTTTTCTTTGTAAGTCTTTTTTTTTTTTTTTTTTAAGATTTATTTATTTATTTGAAAGTCAGTTACACAGAGAGAGGAGAGGAGAGGCAGAGAGATGGAGAGAGGTCTTCCATCTGTTGGTTCACTCCCCAGATGGCTGCAGTGGCCGGAGCTGTGCTGATCCGAAGCCAGGAGCCAGGAACCTCTTCCAGGGTCTCCCATGTGGGTGCAGGGACCCAAGGACTTGGTCGATCTTCTACTGCTTTCCCAGGCGATAGCAGAGAGCTGGATTGGAAGTGGAGCAGCCAGGACTGGGACCGGAGCCCATATGGGATGCCGGCACTTCAGGCCAAGGTGTTAACCTGCTACGCCACAGTGCCAGCCCCAATATATTTTTATCTTTTTTTCTCTAAGTCTTGACTCTCAAAAAATCAATAAATATTTTCTTACAGATATATTGATAAATTATGCATATCAAAAAGCGGAGAGAAAAGAATGAAAAAATAAACAATGAAAAGTGATATAAGAAAGTTCCCTACTTCTCTAATCCCCAGTTTCTCTCTCTTTAAAATGGTGATACCAATGTAATGGAAGTATTTGCCTCAAATGGTTTAAACAAACCTAAAGCATTTAAATGTTAACAGTGACAGCACCACATGAAAAAAAAAAAAAACACAAAAAATAAACCTACATTAAAGTGGCAAGATACAGAATACAAAGAAACTGCCTTTATATTAAGAAACAAAAACTAGCAAATAATAGTAAAGAAAACCCCATCTCAATAACAAAGAAACCTAAATACTTTGGAAGAAATTTAACAAATTTGAAAAACCTGTATACGAAGATTTAAAAATATTCCTGAAAGACACAATGAAGACTACCCTTGACTAGTAAGATATAATATGAAGATATCAGTTAACTAAAATTAGATCTGTATCTCAAATGTTTTAAGAATATACTCCAAAAGGATCAGGGACCTATGTAAATTTTTTTTTTTAAGATTTATTTATTTTTTACTTGAGAGAGTTACACACAGAGAGAGAGGGAGGTCTTCCATCCGCTGGTTCACTCCCCAATTGGCCACAATGGCTGCAGCTGTGCCGATCTGAAGCCAGGAGCCAGGAGCTTCCTCTGGGTCTCCCACGCAGGTGCAGGGGCCCAAGGACTTGGGCCATCTTCTACTGCTATCCCAGGCCATAGCAGGGAGCTGGACAGGAAGTGGAGCAGCCGGGACTAGAACTGGCGCCCATATGGGATGCCGGCGCTTCAGGCCAGGGCGTTAACCTGCTGCGCCACAGTGCCGGCCCCCTACATAAATTTTCATAATTTGAGAAACAAAACCCAGTGGTAAATGAGAATGACATGATTTAGTATTCTCAAGACATTAAATGCCCTTAAACTTGTGAAAAAATATTCAACCTCACTCTTAGGTGAGATGCAAACCAAGACTTACAAGGGAAATGCCATGTTTAGCTTTCAGCCATCAAACTGACAAAAATTTAAATGACAAACATTATGTTGGCAATGTATGTGCAAGCAGGCACTCACACGTTTCTGGTGGGGAAACTGGTACAATCTTTTTGGAGAATTTGGCAATACGTAGCAAAAGTCATATCCTACTTCTGGGAAGTTACCTGAATACACATTCCAAACACAAAAACGCAAATAGGCAAGATTATTCAATTATAGTATTGTAATGGCATAGTACTGGGTATGATCTAACTGCCCACATAAGACAAAAATTGAAGAAACTGGTATAGTCATATAGTTGTAACAAACTATGTAATACAGCATGCTTTCAGGTTAAAAAAAAAGAATTTATGCAAAAAGAAAGGATAAACCAGGAACCAGATAGGTTTCCTCTAAATGTGCAAACAAGATAGAAAGGATGGGGGGTGGGGTGGGGATGGAGCGGCTGCCTGCAGTGCTGGATCCCCCTATAGGTGCTGGTTTGAGTCCTGGCTGCTCCATTTTCGATCCAGCTCTCTGCTATGGCCTGGGAAAGCAGTCGAAGATGGCCCAGTTGCTTGGGTCCCTGCACCCATGTGGGAGACCCCAAGGAAGCTCCTGCCTTCAGATTGGCACTGCTCTGGCCATTGTGGCCAACTGGGGAGTGAGCCAGTGGATGGAAGACCTCTCTCTTTCAAATAAATAAATATATATGTATATTTTTTAAAGGGAAGAGTGACTTTTTAAAACTATTTATATTTGGAAGGCAGAATGACAGGGAGACAAATTTGTCCATCCATCTGTTCATTTCGTTCACTCCCTAAATGCCGGCAAGAGCCAGAGTGAGGCAGGTAAAAGCCAGGAAGTTCATCCAGGTCTCCTGCAAGGGTGATAGGAACCCAAGTACTTGGGGTATCATTCGCCAACTCAGTCACATTAGCAGGAAGCTTGGACCAGAAGTGCAGAGTAGCCAGTACTCTAGGGATGCTGAGTGTCCCAAGCTGCAGCTTAACCCACTGTTACAATGCCCACTCCCTTTTTGTGTCACTTTTAGTATTTGAAAATAAAAAATGCAAATTAGATTACAAATGAACATAACTATTTGAAAGTGGAAGATTGTAAAGTCAAAGTGATGGAAAATTGGAACGTGGAAAATTGTAAAGTCAAAATAAAAGAAAATGAGGAAAAAGTAATCATGTGGTCATGCATGGTATATACAGATAGTAAACTGAGTTAAAATATCAAAGTATGATCAAAGAAAATAGGGATATTTAACTTGTGTGGGGTAAAAAGAGCCCTTCAAATATTTTAAGAATGCATTTAAATAGAAGTGGGATTGATTTTTTTTCACTATGGTCTTCATACAGGCTTAATGGATAGAATATATGATTAAAAGTAACTTACAACACTTAGTGACTTTCAAACATTAATACGCATGATTTCCGAACACACAGGACAGACAACCCTTCGGAAATGGAGGAGGATTTGGATTCAGTCTTTTCCAGCATGAGATACTGTAATCCTATAGAACTGTTTGTTAAGTAGTAAGAATTTAAAACTCCCATTACTTTGGCCAACAATCGTGGCAAGAGCAACACTCCTAACATTTGTCTCAACTTTTTTGAAAATAAAAAGCCAGTAAGCAACAATTAAATAGAAAATAAGAACACTACTGAGTTTGAGAAATTTATTGGTATTTTAGTAAAGACATTCATCTTAGTCATCTCTCTCCCATCTTGACCTTAGGTTAAGTTTTTCCATTTGGGTCAAGAAATCAGTGTGTAGGAGAGGGATGTTATTTTAACAACAGTTAAATGGACAAAAATGGATACTTTGCCTACATTAAAGTAAGTTAAATTCATGTAACTTGATATAATAAAATCATGTAAGAACTAAAGTTCTATATACATTTCCATTGTTTTACTTGGGGCTTATTCTAGACTTAAATGTAAGTGAAGAAAGTGTTAGGAATATACACAGGCTGCTTCTCTGGAGTTATTACCTATTAGAAGAGCTTAGTGAGTGGTTACCACCAGTAAAAGTTTGAAGCTGCCTCCAAATTTAACATCATAGGAGTTTTCAAGGAAATCATTGTACTATTTTGTCTGTGACTTACGTTTTTAAAGATGGGTTTAACTGTCACACTAAAAAAAGAGGTCATATGCAATACAAAAAATACAAAACAAACACTCTACAATACACAAATCTTAACAGAGTATATGTGGTGAGAACTCCATAAAATATGTTTGAAGATGCATTTTCTCTATATCTCAGTACCTAAAATGTGCTTTGGAGAGGCCACTGGTCAATATGTATGTTCTTAAACTAAATCATGTAATTGTACTATTAAGAAGTCCTGTAGTGAGTTTAATTCAAATATGATTTCACAACTTAGTAATTTAAATGTGTAGACAAAGTTACAGAAAGTGCATCTTCTCATTTTCCATCTTTATACAATGTGGTTTTTTTTTTTTTTGGTGTTTATACCTTTTAAAAAATAAAAAAAAGCCAAATACTTAAGCAATATGTACATTTACATTTTTGGTGGTGGTTTGTATTTTAAAAGAAACAGCTTCCTTCTGATTTGCCTCAAGTTCTGGTGGAAATGCGTACAGGAACTAGCTAATAAACAAAAACCAAGAGAAGCACATTTGAAATACTGATTTACTTTGGTAGCAAATGGTTGGTCTTTGAAGACTAATGAAGGTAGACAAGATCCCTTAAGGTGAAGTAGGCTATTTCAAATACTCGATAGTTTACATAAAAAGTTAAACTTTTTTTTTAAAAGAGCTAAGCCGTGGTATCCACTGACAGCAATGCAATATCTAGTTTATGATGACTTAAAACAAATGCCCACAAAGAAAAAGCTGTACTTTAATTTTATCTAAATTTACTTTCAGTCAATAGTAACTTTTTTTCTCCGTACAATACTCCCTTCCCTCTATAAGGCTGTTCCTGGGAGCCTGACAGTTTAGGTAACGAGGGAGTTAAGAGACTTAACTACTCGCAGTTTTAAATAGACAATAAAGTTTTGCTTCCCTCTTAATGTGCTAATAGTTGTGTCTAAAAAAATATGCAATTCTTAAAAAGGTACCATTTCTGATTTCTTTATTATCTGTAACCTTTGGAAACTAATCACATGAAACTACAAAATTAGCAAATGTCTGAAATCTGTGTATAAAACATAAATTACCTCTAATTTCAAACTCTCATTTATTAGTGTACCACTCAATCTTAAAAAAAATGAAAAAGAAAAAAAAAAGCGGCTCCAAAGATAGTCTTATACCATTCTTTAAAAAAGGAAACTGTTCCTTTTAACTTTACACCCACCCCACACCCCAATTTCAAAACACATCATTTAATTGTCTTGGTCATGGACATTTCCAAGATGAGATTTTATATTTCTCTCCCATAGCTTCTGGTTATCAGAAAACCCATGCTTTCCTTTATTGAAGGAATTTGGTCCGGCTGATGTTGGTGTATCCCTGTGTTAAAAGAAAGGAAATTTATGTGAATTGTCACATAAAGTCTTACTCAATATATAAATTTGCTTAGCACAGATTATAACACAAGCTGGATACCAGAAGCCCCTTCAAGATTTTTAAATACCATTTGCACAGACAGTTCTAGACTTCAGAGTCAGAAGGCCTGAGGTACATAGCTTAAGTAAATATTAATGACCAACATTTAATTCTGATACACAGCCAAGGGCAGCAGCTACTGGTTTATAAAAGTATCATCTGTAACCCATTAACATGGCCATGAAATCAGTTTGGTGGCTTGCCATCAGCATTTGTGAAAATGAAAGAGAAGGAAAACAAAGATGTATCACATGTAGAAAGGCTCAATGCCATTTTATAAACACTTGTTCCAATTTTATGTTTTATATGAATACTGAGTTTGAATCTGAAAGGACAGCAGGCAGGCAGCCATTGGGACTGTTTCCACTTGAATCAAGAGACTGAATTTAAGAACTAAGGCTCATGTATGGATTTTAGCATTTAGTTCTTTGGAGGGTCATACATTTGGTAGAAATGGGGGATATCCAATGGATTGATATAAAGTTGACCTTTCTTACTACCCTCTACTAGGTTATCCATTTATGCATATAAAGATGAAGATAGGCCAAGTGCTGCCCCCCCTCCCCCGACATGGGAGAGCAGGAAGAAGCTCCTGGCTTCGGCATGGCCCAGCCCTGGCCTTTGAAGCCATCTAGGGAGTGAACCAGCAGATGGAAGATTTTTCTGTCTCTCTGTAACTCTTTCCAGTAAATTAAAAAAAAAAAAAAAAAAAAAAAGCATTATGTACAACTTAGTGTTGTTCTTATTTTATCCCTATAATTTCCTAGAATATTTATGAAAAATTATAATACCTTCCAATATTCTTCATCCTCATCTTTGCTTCTGGAGGCATTTCCTCTGGTTCACTCTAAAGGAAAAAAAAATAAGTAAACGAGATGAATGCATATAAATTTATTAAATTCAGTTGATTACTGACAATACTCAATTTTATATTAGTCTTAGCATTTTGATACTGTAAATTTTGATAACGAGAAAATCAGTGATGTATCTTAACTGCTTTTTTAAAAGAAAGGCATTATCTTCTATAATACTGATCTTTCACAAAGATCACCTGCCACTTGGGATGCCCACATCCCACATCAGAGTGCCGGTCTGAATTTGGCTCCTCTGCTTCTGATCCAGCTTTCTGCTAAAACATCCTAGGAGGCAGCAGATGGTGGCTCAAATGCTTATTAGGTCCCTGCCATCCACATGGGAGACCTAAGTGGAGTTCTAGGCTGCTGGCTTTGGCCTGGTATAGATCAGCTGAGGTGGGAATTTGGGGAGTGAATCAGTGAATGGAAGACCTCTCTTTTTCTGTCATTAAATATATGGGGGAAAAATATTTTAAAAATATATTCTACATATTGCATATGTTCTGAAATATCACTATACTCCATAAACATATGGATTCTTAAAAACAACCATAAAAATGTTTATTTTGGTGCAAAAATTATAAATCCAATGCATAAGACTTTCTAATACATATTTTCCATGAACTTTTTAAAGATCTCTCATGTATAACTGTCAATTAAGAACAAAATTTTTTTTAAATCTCATGTTCTAGAAACAAAACCATTTTACTAAGTGCTACACATAGTAAAGAACGTATTAAGTGCTTTAATATGCACTGTTTTAAAATTCTTAACAAAATTATCTCACAAAGGGAGAATAATTATCATCATCTGCATTTTAAGGGGAGGTGTGCCCAAGGTCACAAAGCTAATTATAGCAAACCAGTCTGAGGCCAATACAAAGGCTCTTAGCCAGTTTACTGTATTGCTTCTCTCAAAACATTTCCCTTTTACTATAAAGGCACCTTTTTTTCTTTTTTGACAGGCAGGGTTAGACAATAAGAGAGACAGAGCGAAAGGTCTTCCTTCCATTGGTTCACCCCCTAAATGGCCACTACGGCCGGCGCGCTGCGCCGATCCAAAGCCAAGAGCCAGGAGCCAGGTGCTTTTCCTGGTCTCCCATGCAGGTGCAGGGCCCAAGCACTTGGGCCAACCTCCACTGCCTTCCCGGGCCACAGCAGAGAGCTGGACTGGAAGAGGAGCAACTGGGACTAGAACCTGGAGTACTGGTGCCGCAGGCAGAGGATTAGCCTAGTGAACTGCAGCACCGGCCTAAAGGCACCTTGAAAGGTCATTCCTTGTACTTTTAAAAACTGTAGGGCAAGTTCCTTTCCGATGTATACATATTTTTATGTATAAATGGTACTGCTTATTAGCTAACTATTTTTTACAAGAGTGGCCACAAAATCAAGGTTGTGGGAGCTTTCATTAGTCAAATCTGGTATATTTTGAGCATTACAGCCTATTGGATAAAGTATCCATGAATCTTTACTTACATAATACGAAAAACTTGGAAAGTGATAAGGGAAAGCTCTTCTTCATAGTAAAAGACAGTTAAATAAATGTAGAACAGATGATGGAATTAGAAAAATCACCATTTTGCACACTATGAGAAACGGTGACTTGATCAGCCCTTGCCCTGACTGTTGATGAAGAACTTAATACTTTATCCCTTTTAGTATTTTTTTTTTCTACTTAATACTATAGGTTGAATTCTGTAATTAATACACAATTAAAAAACTTAACTGAAAAGTGATCCCTGTTAAATATAAGAGTGGGAAGAGATGTGCAATTTGGGACATGCTCAAGCTGACTTGCCCCAAATGGTAGAGTTAGAAACATACCAGGGGATTCCAATTCAATCCCATCAAGGTGGCATGTACCAGTGCCATATCACTAGTCCAAGTGATCAATTTCTGTTCACAATTGATCATAATGATAGGACTAAGAGTCAAAGGGAGCACATAAACAAGACTAGTGTCTGCAAATACTAACCGATACTGGCCTCAGAATCAGCCGCGAAGGCATTCAGATCTGGCTGAAGAGCCCAGGAGAGTATTTTAGGCATGGAAAGCCAAGACACTCTGGCAAAAAAAGGATGGACAGACGGACGGAAGGACCTAAATGAAAGATCTCTGAGAGTGAGATACCAATAGAAAGAACAGGTCATCAAAGAAGGAGGTACCTTTCTCTGAAGGGAGGAGAGATCTTCTACTTTGATAATGACCTTGTCAAAATATGATCAGAATGAGCGAACTCAAAAGGCTTCCATAGCCTTGGCAACTCATGACAAGAGCCTAGGGAGATTACTGACGCCATAAACAAGAGTGTCAATTTGTTAAGTCAACAACAGGAGTCACTGTGCACTTACTCCTCATGTAGGATCTCTGTCCTTAATGTGCTGCATATTGTGATTTAATGCTATGACTAGTACTCAAAAGTATTTTTCAGTTTGTGTTTCTGTGTGGGTGCAAACTGTTGAACTCTTTACTTAATATATGCTAAATTAATCTTCTGTATATAAAGAGAATTGAAGATGAATCTTGATGTGAATGGAAGGGGAGAGAGAGTGGGAAATGGGAGGGTTGCGGGTGGGAGGGAAGTTATGGGGGGGGGGGAAGCCATTGTAATCCATAAGCTGTACTTTGGAAATTTATATTCATTAAATAAAAGTAATAAAAAAAAGAAAGAAAAATCACCATTTCGCAAACATTATTACAATGATCAACTCAGGAAGAATCATAAATAGATGTTAACACTTTTAAGTAAATGCTCGTGAAGTTATATATTTTCACATATTCTCAAAGTGTAACCTCACAAGATAGATTTTAATTGTAAATGATAAAACAGGAATTTGACAGTGGAGAAATCTGGCAGGCATCACTTTACCCAAATGATCAAAGTTAACACTGCCAGTAATGGGGCATACTAATAACATGTGCTTTCTGGTACAATGCGTTGAGAGCCTGGCATCACTTCTTTAGTCTTCCTGCCAAAAACAAGGATTATGAATTGACTCCTGAGGAAACATCAGGCAAATCCAAACTGAGAGACACTGTACAATTAAAATAACTGGGTTGTACTCTTCAAAAAGGTCAACTTCATGAAATACACAGAAAGATTCAGAATTGGCCAAATAAACGACACTAAAGAGACCCAACTGGAAAAATACAATTTCAGTACTGACTAAACTGATGCCCTCTTTTTTCAATATAGTTCAGACTCAGCTATATACCCAAGATTACTTATGCCCTTAAAAGAAGATGAAGACTTTAAATGTGTATATTCTTTTATCTGAGATAAGTTAATCCTTTATCATTATGATATTATAGCAGAAAGAGTGATGTCTGAACCTATCTAGAAATTAATTAAAAAACAGTTGGGAAAACAGTAAGGTCTGATGAAGGGAACATGGGACAAAAAACTAGAAGATGCAAGGGATAACATGTGTATACATTACCATGTATTCATGCATACTTACTTTCTCCATTTGCAAAATGTGAATAAACACATTATACTGAGACAAAGGGTAAATTTAAATTGTATGAAAACTGCTAAGCATTCGAAGTAAACTAAAGGTTATGCCAATTGTTAGATATTCAAAGTAAGTCATTATTATAATGTAGGTGCTTAATTTCCAGCCTCTGCACTTTTGCACTTGTGTTCCATTCTTCCTGTGTCATCCTTCTAGACGTCTGTACATGTCCAGTTGGCTTTGATTAATTGCAACCTGATCTCTTAAGAATGGCAGTGATGCCAGAAAACCTGCAATACTAGCTGAGTTACTGCTTTTTAGAAGTGAAATATTTTCCCCCAACAAAATCTTATTTGGGTTCTGAAATATCAAATAGATGTAAGCAAAATAGGGGTAGAGGACCAGAATTCTGCTTGCTAGGCATCAGCTTTCCACATTATAGCAGCTCCTAAGATATGTCCATAGGACCACACAACTCTGAGAAATGGTTTAAAAATCTATTTTCCAAATCGAGCGTTAAGGCCTCAGGCATTTGGCCTAGTAGTTAAAACAATGGTCAGGATGCCTACATCCCACATTATAGTGCTTGGGTTCAACTCCTGGCTCCATCTTCTCTTTCTGCTAATGCAGACCCTGGGAAGCTGTAGATGATGGCTCAAGTACTTGGGTCCTAGCCACCCATATGGGAGATCCAGATGACTACTGGCCTCCTGGCTAGGGCCTACCTCACCCTTGGCTGTTGCAGGCATTTGGGGAGTGAACCAGCAGGTGCAAATTCTCTGCCTTTAAAGTAAACAAATAAACAAAACTTAAAAAAATTAAAGAAAGGGGTTGGCTGGTGCTATAGTGTGGGTAAAGCTGCCACCTGCAGCTTTGCTATACCATATGGGCGCTGGTTCAATTCACGGCTGCTCCACTTTCAATCCAGCTCCCTGCTAATATGCCAGGGAAAGCAGCCAAAGATGGCCCAAGTACTTAGACCCCTTGCACTTGTGGAAGACCCACAAGAAACTCTTGGCTTTGGATCAGCCCAGCTCTGGCCATTGCAGCCACTTGAGGACTGAACTAATGGATAGAAGATCTCTCTCTCTCTCTCACTGACTCACTCAATCTTTCAAATGAATAAATAAATCTTAAAAAAAAAAAAAAAGCCTCCATTTTAAAACTAAGAAACTGTGAAAAGATGAGTTCTTAAATTATTTATTTGTTCAATTGTTTGCAATGGCCAGGTCTGGGTGAGACTGAAACTGGGAACTCAATCCAGGTCTCCTATGCAGGTGGCAGGGACCCAACTATTTGAGTCATCATCACCTCATGGAATTCATATTAACAGGAAGCTGGAATCAGGACTCAAGCCTAGGTAGGTACTCCATTATAGGCTGCCATTTGGGATCCTCCCACCTCCTATCAGATGGCCTGGGTTCAAATCTTAGCTCCACTGATGATTCCAGCTTCCTGCTAATATGTACCCTGGAAAGTAGTTGGGTCCTTGCACCTGAAGTGGGAAATCTGGATTGAGTTCCTGGCTTCTAGTTGGGACCACTGCAAGCACCTGAGGGGTAAATCAGCAAGTGGGAGCTCTCTCTTCCTCAAATAAAAACTTAAAAAAAAAATAATATCCAGATTTACTCACAGGCTTTGCTAGTTAATAAATGAGCAAGACACCATAGGAAACCAAGTCTTCCAACTGCCAGTCCGGTGGTCTTTGGTTTCTCTTTTTTCAATTTCCATAATCTTTCACCTCATCACATAATTTAGATTTTTATGTGAGTAGCTTACTTGTGTCTATCCTACTAGGATGAATTCTATGAGAACATGTCCAACTTAATTTTAAGTAATTCCTTACCTACTGATCTAAATTCTAGTGATTCCATTTTATCCTTGCCCAATATTCCAGCCCAGTCAAATGCAGCTAATAAGGATTTACCACTTGTGACCTGAAAGCTGATGTCTTGGCTAACAAAAGTATTCCCTGGTTCACCAAAACCTGGCTTAATGTGTTAGAATCCAATCCATATAACCTCACATCTAGACTCCTCAAACATTAGTCCCAGTATCTGCACTGCTTTGGGAACAGTTACTCATGTACCCTGTAACACTTTATTGTTATTTAGTAGGGTTATATCTTAAGTGACAGTTAGGTTCTAAAGTCAGAGACTAACACAAAAATCACTGTCAACATTATGCTTGAAAATTCCATTAGTCATTCATAAACACTTTTAAGACTGGTGAAACTGAGAACTGCAGCTGACAAACAGAACATCTTATGTGCACTCTGGAATATGTGCTTATTGAGTAGAACTGCAGAATCATCTACATTATTTAAGTTATTCCTTCTAGAGATATGGGAAGCAAGTACTGTAGCTGCCTTTTTTTTTTTGACAGGCAGAGTGCATAGTGAGAGACAGAGAGAAAGGTCTTCCTTTTACCGTTGGTTCACCCTCCAATGGCCGCCACGGCTGGCGCGCTGCGGCCCGCACACCACGCTGATCCGAAGGCAGGAGCCAGGTGCTTCTCCTGGTCTCCCATGGGGTGCAGGGCCCAAGCACTTGGGCCATCCTCCATTGCCTTCCCTGGCCACAGCAGAGAGCTGGCCTGGAAGAGGGGCAACTGGGAAAGAATCCAGCGCCCCGACCGGGACTAGAACCTGGTGTGTCGGCGCCGCAAGGCAGAGGATTAGCCTAGTGAGCTGTGGCGCCAGCTTTTTTTTTTTTTGACATCCTTTTTAAAGCGTAAGGACAAGGGGCCAGCACTGTGGCATAGCTGGTAAAGCTGCCGCCTGCAGTGCCAGCATTCCATATGGGCGCCAATTCAAGTCCTGGCTGCCCCACTCCTGATCCAGCTCTCTGCTATGGCCTGGGAAAGCAGTAAAGGAGGCCCAAATCCTTGAGCCCCTGCACCTACGTGGAAGACCCAGAAGAAGCTCCAGGCTCCTAGCTTCGGATCAGCCCAGCTCTGGCAGTTGCGGCCATTTGGGGAGTGAACTAGTAGATGGAAGACCCCCCCCCCCCCGCCGCCTCTCTAACTCTGCCTTCCAAATCAATCAATCAATCAATCAATCAATAAAAAAAAAGTGCAAGCACAGGAGTTGGGGTTGTGGCACAGTGGGTTGAGCAGCTGCTTGCAATGCCTGCATCCTGTATATGAGCACTGGGTCGAACCCCCAGCAGCTCTGCTTCTGAACCAGCTCCAGCTTAAGTACATGGGCCCTCGTCACCTATGTGGGAGACCCAGATGGGGTTCCTGGTTCTTGGTTTCTACCTGGCCCAACCCAGGCCATTGTGGGCATTCTGGGAATGAACCAGTGGCTAGAAGATCTGTCTCTTCCTCTTTCTGTCACTCTGCCTTTCAAATAAATAATCTTTGGGAAAAAATAAAAAAGATGAAGTACAATGCTCAAAGGTACTTCAAAAAAGCTTTTGGAAAAACGAAATTAAACAATATCTTTAGGGGTAGGTGTTTGGCCCCAAGTTGGGACATCTGCATGCCATATTGGGGTGCCTGGGTTTTAGTCAACACCGTTCCCGATTCCAGCTTGCTGCTGGAGTACACCCTAGAGGCAGCAGGTGATGGCTCAAGGGGTTGAGTACCTGCCACCCAGGGGGAGACCTGGACTGAGTTCCCAGCTCCTGACTGTAGCCTGAAGCCTGGCTCAGGCTTGATTAAAGCCTCTACATGTATAATCAAAAGAAAAAAAAATGTAAAAATTTTTTAAAAAGACTTTTAGTTAAAAAGCAGAGTTAGAGGCCGGCACCACGGCTCACTAGGCTAATCCTCCGCCTGCGGCGCCGGCACCCCGGGTTCTAGTCTCGGTTGGGGCGCCGGTTCTGTCCTGGTTGCTCCTCTTCCAGTCCAGCTCTCTGCTGTGGCCCAGGAGGGCAGTGGAGGATGGCCCAAGTCCTTGGGCTCTGCACTGGCATGGGAGACCAGGAAGAAGCACCTGGCTGTGCGCCGGCTGTGGCGGCCATTTGGGGAGTGAACCAACGGAAGGAAGACCTTTCTCTCTGTCTCTGTCTCTCTCACTGGCTAACTCTGCCTGTCAAAAAAACAAAAACAAAACAAACAAACAAAAAAAAAAACACAAAAAAACAGAAAAAAACCCAACAACAACAAAAAAACAAAACAGAGTGAGAGAGAGAGGGACAGACAGATTTTCCATTTGCTTGTTCATGCCCCAAATGGCTGTTACTAGCTGGGGCTTCTCCTGGGTCTCCCACATGCTTGGGTGCAGGAGCCCAAGCACTTGGGCCATCTTCCACTGCTTTCATTAAAGGCTCATTAAAGGAGTTGGATCTGAAGTGCAGTAGCCAGGACTCCCATAAAGGATGCCAGCATTGCAGGTGGTGGCTTTGCCCATTATGCCACAGAGTCAGTCCCTCAAAACTTTTTTTAAAAAAGATTTATTTGAAAGGCATTCACAGACAGGGAGAGACCAAGAGAGAGAAAATTTCCATCGCTAGTTTACTCCCCTGATGGCCATAAAAGCTGGGGCTGGGCCAGGCATAAGGCAGGAGCCAGGAGCTTCATCTGGGTCTCCTGTGTGGGTGTCAAGGGACCAAGTACTTGGGCCATCTTCTTCCGCTTTCCCAGGTGTATTAGCAGGGAGCTGGGTTGAAAGTGGAGCAGCTGGGACATTAACTGGTGCCCATATGAGATGCTGGTATCACAAGCAATGGCTTAATCTGCTATGCCACACTGGACCGTCATAACCTTTCTGCACCAAAATAAACGTATTTTTTAATTCAATTTTTCCATAAATTTATTGAAGTATACTCATATCGTTGCTGAAACACCAACTATAAAAAACACTAAGGTAGTATTAAATTTTTCCTTTATGGATCCTAGGTACTTCCTAGCTTGTATTTGTTATTCATAATAAGTATCTGATATGGTTAAGCTTCTTGCCCCAAAAGCCAACAATATTAAAAAATAACCCCACAACTAAATACAAAAATAGAACACCCAGTTTTGTAGATGACACACACAAAAATATGTAAAGAAAATAATCTGTAATCTGTCATTAATGCCTTTCTTAAAGAACTAAAGTAAAATAAACAAAATTGGTGTCAACTTACATCTTCATCTTCATTAAAAGCCGCTGCTACTGAAAGAGTTTTTGGAGCAAGAGTTGGAACAGTTTCTTTAGGCTTCTGAAGATAAAACATAAAAAAATATCACTTCAGTAACATTCATACATACTTATTTAATGATATGAATCTTTAAAGATTCAATTGGGTTATCAGTATGGAGGTTTTCACTAATTTTCATATCCATTTGTTTTCTTCCTCTAAAAGATTACCTAGTTAACATCTGTAATGTTTAGGACCACTTACTAAGGGTACTGTCACAGGTAAGAGAAAATGATTAGCAATACCTTCCCATATAGGCATTAAAATCAATATAATGTACTTTGAGAACACAAAAGACACCATGACTCACCTTTACTGGCTATTTTCTGCCCTTTGTCCTGTAAACAGGCTTCATCTACATCATCATTTTCTTTCTAACCTAAGTTTTTTCCCCCATTTCTCTCACCTAACCTGAGTTTTAGAAAAATTATCCTCATCATCAGTACCCTGGCAATAACCATTCAGTCTTCAACCTATTGGAATCTAGCTCCCTCCTTAATAATTCCCCTGAAATTATTCTCGGGTGGCCCACCAATGAGCAGCGTGCTGTATTTTAATCACCAGCTTTTTGAAATCAACCCTGCCTTGACATCTAGGACAGGCATATTTGACAGTTCATTTTACAAGTTCTTCTAATCCTCTCACCTTTTGTTCTTTCTCCACCTTCCACCCTACACCCCACGCTGCCAATGTTCTCCCCTTGACACAGATACTCAGGATTTTATTGTTAGTGATCTTTCCTATTCTGTACTTCTGTGGTCATTTTCATTCACTCTCACAGTTTGAATTACCAAATCCTATCTCTAGTCCCAAAATGTCATCTGCGTATTCGACAGCTCCACTTAAGACAGCCTTTGAGTACTTTGTTTCATAGTGTCCTTATGTACCTAGTCAGAAAACCTTTTCCTCAACTTATGAGCTCTTGTTACTATACCTCTATTAGATACTTAACTTTCCTTCTGCTTTTCCATCATACTACCGCACCACAACCTAATGTTCTTAGTACTACCTGCTTGTTAGAACTATCAACTCCTCACTTTTTGCGATTTTTCTCCTTCAGCCCTCTGTAGCAGTACTAGAGTGATGTTTCTAAAATGCAAATCCATGTCAAGACTCTTTATAATGGTTCTTTGTATCTTTGCATGAAATGCCATTTTGCTTTTTGCCTATATTTAAATCCAACTCAAATATCATTTCATCAGTAAAATCTCTGATCTGCTAAAACAAAATTAACCAATCTTCCTACCACACATTTTCAAATTATTTGCTTTTGAAAGAAAAGGTGTTAAATTGGATATTATGTACTGTGACTCTAGGAATACTCTTAAAGACATCACATATTTAATGTAGAAACAACTTAAGACACAAATAACTACTAGCTGATCAACTATCTTTTACATCATATAGCCAAAAGCAGCAGTTCAACTATTTAATTTCTTACACTTCCCTGAATAATCTTATTCTACATCTTACTTACCCAAGAAGGCTACAACTATTTTATAAAAACAGGGCTTATTTTCCATAATTAAAGTTTTATTATGTGTTTTCAAGTATAACTTCCACCTCCCCATCTACAATGATTAGTAATTACTAAATCAAGCCATTAAGCAGGGAGAGTTAGATTTAGGGAATATGCTCAAGCACATTAAAATTGACCATCAAGGAGACCCACTATATTAGAATTATGATTGAGAACACATGTTTACTATATCAAAAATTTACACATAAGTTCATATATCAAAGAGAAGCAATATATCTTAATGTATTTTTTTTGTAATTTACCATGACTTTATAAAAGCAGGTTTCTGAAACAAAATATTTAATAATATTCATTACAAACATTCATATATAAAATAAGAACTTACACTTGATCCAAGTTTGATGGATATGGCTGATGCTTTCTTTGACGTCTGACTACCTATGGCAAATCCAAACTTGGAGATCTTTGTAGGTTTTGTTGGGAGGTCTGCAGCTTCTTCTTCAGCTGATCGTTTCTCAGCGCTGCGACTGGAACTTTCCCCTCCATTACTGGAAGAAACAGTCTTAGTTTTCACAGGTTTTTCTGCTTCTTCTTCAGGTCCTGGTGAAGTCGAAACAACTTACCAAGATGAGCTATTTTTACTGAGCAGATTGATGGGAGCAGCAACCTCAAAAAGCATCGTTACAAGGAAGATACCTCTGCAGTTGTCACCTACTGACCCAACAGTCTCTTCCACTGTTTGTTAGAGTATACAGCAGGAACTGAGATTGTGTGGCAGTAGAAGAGGCTCCCATGAATTAACTAGCATAAAATACAGAGCAATTTAAAATTATAAACATAGAGTTCACAAAAAAAAGACCCTTCAACTAAACACTATATAAACTGTACAATAATCTGGTTATGATTTTGCTTTTTAGAAATTAAGATCTATAAATTAAATTAGTTTGTGAGTGCTAAAATAATACATTTGGCTAACAAATTGTAATATTTTTCAATTACAGGACTGATTATACAAAGTACCTAGTTATGAAAAGGTCATTACCCAAACTACAGTGTTAACACAGGCTAGAGTAATTTTCTTAAATGATGTGTTCCTCAAGTACATCTCATATAATCTTAAAAGTTGAAAAGCAATTTAAAGGAAGACTTCAGGTTCACCTCTTGAGTAATTTAGTCTAATCTGAAAGCTTGGCTATCACATGTTTCAAGCTATCTGTAAGAGCTATTAAAAATCACTTTGATTTATATATTACGTTTTCTAGTGAAAGACAAGCTAATCACAATTTCAAATAGTAACAATGTTGGTTTGGAAGGCAACATGTCTTTCAATAATTTTGCTTGTGTTTCTGTTAAGTCAATGATGAAATTCATTAATATCCCGAGTACTTTAGGTCTGTTATATAATACTGGGAGATGAGACAGAAGACAATTTCATTTTCTTTCCCCAGTTTGCCAATTCACCATATAGAATGTATCCTGCTACACTGGATAGAGTGTTTATAGAGAAAAGGATGCTTTGAGGATGGCCTTTACAACAGTTAAGAAAACATGACAAAAGCTAGAATGGTGAAAAAACAATTAAGCACAAATGGATGGAAAACAATTAAACAATTGGAGGCTACAGATTTGTTCCATGTGGTTTGGGAATGACAGTGTCTCTAGATTAATATGCACTCTTTTTTTTTTTTTGACAGGCAGAGTGGACAGAGAGAGAGACAGAGAGAAAGGTCTTCCTTTGCCGTTGGTTCACCCTCCAATGGCCGCCGCGGCCGGCGCACCGCGCTGATCCGCTGATCCGATGGCAGGAGCCAGGAGCCAGGTGCTTTTCCTGGTCTCCCATGGGGTGCAGGGCCCAAGCACCTGGGCCATCCTCCACTGCACTCCCTGGCCACAGCAGAGGGCTGGCCTGGAAGAGGGGCAACCGGGACAGAATCCGGCGCCCCAACCGGGACTAGAACCCGGTGTGCCGGCGCCGCTAGGCGGAGGATTAGCCTAGTGAGCCGCGGCGCCGGCCTTAATATGCACTCTTAACACTGATTTTGTTTAGACCAAAAAGTGGCATTTTAGCCTAGCAGTTAAGACACCCACTACTCAATTCAGAGTAGCTCAGTTTAATATCTGACTCCATCTCCTGCCTCCAACTAATGTAGACCGTGGGAGGCCGTAGAGACAGCTCAAGTAACTAGGTTCCTGTGACACTTGTAGATCTGGAATGGAATAAGTTCGTAGTTTCTGGCTTCAGACCTGGCCAATGCGAGCAACAGGGGGAGTGAACCAGTGGATGGGAGCTCGCTCTTTTTATCTCAAGTAAATAAATACATTAATATTTAAAATTCAATAAAGGAATTTTTTTATCCCCTTTGGACAAGGGGTGAAAGTTGTAATGATAATGTAAAGGAAGGAATTAGATTTTGGGATTTTCTCAGGAAGCAAAGATAGCACTATTTGAGGTGTCATTTGCTTACGTATGTATGAAGTTACAAAAGAACCTGAAGAATTTTTAAAGACTGCTATTTAACAGTTGTAAAACAGAACTCAATTCAATACAAATGGGATCTTACTCTCAAATAAAAATATTAATAACATTAAATATGACAATGGAATTCCTATGTGCTAATAAATGGAATATAATACTAATGCCATTATGCCACAATAATGAATTCCATGGAGACTGCTCCAGAAAAGAGTACAAAAAGGGACATGGGAGAACTCTTCTTCCACTCATTAAGTGGAAACTGCTCAATTTTATTCACATCTGTATTGTCTTCAGAAGAGGCAAAACTAGACCATCAATATGACAGGTCCACATTGAACATTAAAGATACTGTGTTTATTAAAAGTCACTTCTACACATAACTGATTCCAGATCCAGCAATTTCTAGACAAGTAAAAACTGATCTTGCCCACTCTAAGTGTTTTTGGTTTTTTAAAGCAACTGTAAAAACTATCAGTATGAGCGGATCAGATCTACTCTTCAGTGAAGAGGTGGGGACAGCAGGGAATGAAGGAAGGTGGGTGCATTATTGGCCCTCATTTCTTAGCTTTAAAAAGCTCAACGTGTCACATAAATTGAGATGCTATTTTCTCTTTACATAACCCTCTTAATAGTTATGTAGTAAATACACAAAGCATTTAGGGAAAAAGTAAATGGAATAAATAATGGAGATGGGAAACTATGACAAATCTATGACACTAAAAATGTGATATTACAGTTTTTATAATTCCATGTACATACATTATTTGAAAATTATAAACCACATCATGTACCACTTTAAACTTGGGGTTTTTAATCAAGGTCCTCTATAATGGGACATTTTATATTTGGGGACTGTAGGAAACAAAATTTTTGGTGACCATGAATTGTGACTGTGAAAATTTTTAGTAATGTAAACTATAAATAGCCAAAATAAAATCACATCACTTTACACATGAAGCAAATTATATCAAATTACTAGATTCTTAATGTGAAATAAAATTCACATGGTGCTACTGTTTTTCTTCTCCACTGAAAAGCTAGAAGAGTTTTGGAAGCTAGAAGGCTTTGGAGCACAAACAAAATTACCTCTTAAGAAAGTCTGAGTCCAAAAAGTGCCTCTCAAGGTCCATTTGCATTATGGTAGCTTCTTCATATGGAAAAAGGGCAAACAGCTATCTTTCAGGACTGCTGTGCAGTTTACATAAGAATGTAGTCAAGACCTCACTAGTGCCTGGCATAGTGTCAATTTCACTGAAGTAGTTCTTAGCACAACCTAATAAAGCTGGAGATGGTGGTGATTATGTATGAACAGCTTTTCTCTGAAATTTCTACAAATTTCAAAGAGCTACAAATTTTTAAATAAACTTAGAAAAAAAATCTACACAAAACCTTATTGTATTTTTGGAAACTGAAAGCAGGTAGTTCAAGTAATCAGCTTCTCTCAGAGATGTAAATTAATATCAACTATAAAAGTAACTTTCCCATAAAAAAATACTATGCTTTCAATTTAGTGGATTGTTCAATAGGTTTGTAAAAGCTCATTCTAGTCTGTAGTCAAATCCCAAAGACAAACCTAACATTTTTTTTTAAAAATTGTGTCACAAAATTACCAACTTAACAATATTCACAGAATTACATGTTTTAATTGTGATTCCGAGGCACAATTTCATAAAAATACCTGACACCTAAAAATGGTTTATATGCAATAGTACTAGTTTCTTGTAAAGGAAATGACACAAACTAGGTAGAAGTTAAGGCGTGACATTTTCTTCTCCGTTATAAAAAAAATTTCCTGATAATTTATACTACCCTCTCCCTCCCCCAAGTGCTAAAATGGGAATATCAATATTCATCAAAGCTAATATCTCTCAACTGAAAGGGTGGCAGGTATATAGTGGATTTACGTTGTCACTTCGGGTACACTCCGGCAGCGCCTTAAACACACCTCTGCAACTCTACCAAGACAGGTAAAAAGCCAGCCTTAAAGTTTAAGACACAGGAGATTCTTCAGGCTACAGGTGTTATGTGGAGGACTGGCCAAAGACTTTACTACAGGGCACTTAGGTTTTCTTTAAACTAGTTGTAAATTCTTGTGTAATTTTACTCCACAATTTCCAAGAAAGTTTTTTTTTTTGGGGGGGGGAGGGGGAAGGATCCCTACCGAGGAAGCCCTACAACTGTTTTTTCATATGCTATTTTACTAGTTAAAAAAAAAAAAAGAGGATGAAGTCTCAGCTCAAACTAGTAGCACTCTACATGCTTCTTTTAAAAAAGGAAATTCTGAATTCAAAGCAACGGAACATTACACTTAATAGTTATGTTTGTTACCATAATTCACATTAAACATTGCTCTACTAGATGCCTGTATATGCTATTATCTCCTGTATTTTTTCATACTAAATACTCTCAGGGATAAGACTTGAGGGAGTGGGAATACAGAATAATATTTAAAACTTCTAAACAAGACAGTATGAGCGGTTCGCACGTGTCTAGTCATTGCCTTCTTACGACAAAGCGGGGTGGGGGGACTGGAGAGATCACATCTTCTTTTCCTTAATGCAGAACACCCCAGTTTACGGGGCCGCAGTGGTTAGAATAAGGCAAGCCGTAACCTGATTAACATCGTAACAAAATACAAGAGTCACCCTTGCCTATTTAGCCTCCTAAATATCTGGCATGCGGGCAGCTGGCAGCAGCCTGAAAAGGCACGGTACTTCAGAAAAAGGCGGCCACCCTCCAGCTCGAGACCCCGGAGCTTAAACCAGGGGCAGGCAAAGGCACTCTCTCGCCCGGGCCCATCCCGCTATAGAGTCCGGGCTTCGCAGAACGCGGGGGGAAAGAGCAGGCCGGGGTTGTCCACCTCCTCAGCCAGAAAGCGCCGCAGACGTAATCGGCTCCAACGTGTAACCGAGAGGCCGACACAGTCGGAAAGTCGGCCTGCGGCCAGTTCCCGCGGTCGCGGCTCGGTGGCTCGCCTGGGAATGTGTGCGTTTCGTGTGATGAACGTCTCCTGTGTATTTTGTGTGATGTGCGTCCCCGGTATGGCGGTGAGCGGCCCCTGCACCGCCGATTCTGGTCCCACCCTAAGTTTTCGTTCTCCCTTACTGGCGCCCTTTTCCCTTCTCCCTCAGAGGCAGGGCCTCCGCTGGGCCACACGGTGACCAAAGTGGCCCACTCTCCCCCGGCAAAGAGGCGCTGAAGGCCCCGATCCCAGTGGGCCTCACGGGCGTGCCCGGGGCTCGTCTGGGCCCAGCACCGGGCCGGGTGAATGCCTGATCCGCCCACTCTTGTCCCCACCCAACGCCCCCCACCCCGGGGAACTCAAAGAAAAGCCCAGAGCATCCCACGCAGCCCGCGACGCTGGGGTTGTGTTCACCTCCGGCGGCTCCAGCTCGCTGCGGCTTTTCGGGCTTCTCTTCTCCCGCCTTCCCGTCCGCCATTTTCCCCGCCGCGGCCTCCCCTGCAGCCACGCCAAGGACGTCACGGCCCCGCCCAACAACCACTGAGCTGTGGGGCCGGCCGGCGAGATGGCAGCCTAGAGTGGCCCCGGAGAGTGAAAAGCGGCCTCTTCGCGAACGGAAGTGGACGTGACGTCGTCGATTAGCCGCCCCTGAACGGGGAGGGGGGGAAGGTGGGTGGTCTTTCTGGAGGACTGGTTGCAGATTTCGCTGCTGGACTCTTAGGTTTTCATGCTCCAGGGCCAGAGCCAGGAAGGTCGGGGCAGGTGTAAGCGTCTCAGGAAGGGTTGGTGGAATCTTGGAAGGTGTTTGCAAACTCGGACGTGGTTGCGGTTAAACCTAGCCGGGTCTTTTCACTGTTGGCTGCATCACGTGGATCCGCCTACTCTGCGTTCCCTACTTAACGGGGGAATGAACTTTTATCGAGCGCCCTCAAGTGTTAAGACACTTTTCCTACACTATCGTTTAATCCCCCGCAATAGTTCAATGCAGAATTTACCTTTGTTTTAAGTATCCATGAGTTAGGAATCAGAGAAAGAAATAGTCCAAGGTGACGAAGCGAAATGGTAACACCCCCTGTTCCGCAGGTCGCAGTCTTTCAAGTTGACAAGCTTTTTCCTTGCTGAGGAACTTCTGGTGGATTCCCAGGGTCTGCAGAATAAAGTCCGTGTGTTGTATTACGACCCAGCCTACCTTTGCGGTCTCATCTTCCTTTTTCTATATATTTATCCCCCCGTTCTAGCCAAACGGAGTCGATTACTTGCCTCGCTAGGAAGCTGGACTTTATGGATTTGTTTTCTAATGTACAGTCAACATTAGACATCAGTCGTAAGAATCACTAGTTAGGTTTGAATCCCTGACTTGCCTTTTCCTTATCGAGTACCTTGAGAGTGGCTTACTGTCTGTACACCTACCTTTGCTGTATAGACTAGAAATAGTAACACCCCCTCAAAGCTGATCATGGGGATCAAATAAGGTATAGAATTTCTGTATAACATTCTTTTATTTACTTTTTTATTCCCACAGTGTGTGCTCTGGGTTGAAGTCTGTGGTCCGTTATTTTCATCATATGATGTATGCAAAAGTGACCAGGAAACTCTTAGAGCAGGCACTTAATTATTGTTTGTTCCAGTTTTCCTATATGTGATCTTCGCAAGGTAATCATTAGACTATCTTTTTAAAAAAAAGATTTATTTAGTAGAGACTATCATTTTTAAGTAGAGACATGAACAGGACATTTTTAGGTAAAATTATGTATGTACTTATTTATAGATGCTTGTATTTTTAAGTGACAAAAATAGATCTCAGAGTGATCACATCTTAGGAGCAGATCAGTTCCCACAGACCACACTGCAGAAGTTAATGATGGAAAACAGTAATCCACTCACCTGTCAGTTCCATAAGGTTACACTGTGACTTGTTTTGGTCACCACCATTTCCTCAGGTCCTAGATTACACCAATCTCAATATATATTCATTGGAAAAGTGAGTGCAAGTTGCTGTAACCCCCTCCAGATGGACTGGGGACTGAAGAGGCCATGTAGTACAAGGCAGAGAGAAGCAGTTCTGGATTACACAAAAGTGGATTTAATTTCTGACTGCCATTTGCTAATTCTTTGAGTTTGTACTGATAAACAATACTACTGAGTATGTGTTAACTTATATACAAGTAGAATACGAACAGGGCTGCTACCTAGAGCATTAGGACAGATTATTATCTCTTAGATAAAATATACTGCCTGGCCATGGTGGGGTCTTGCTTAATGGTAGCTATTGGGATGGGTGTGTGGTGCAGCAGTTAATATTCAGCAGCTCCATATTCAAGTAACTGGTTTTGAGTCTCAGCTACTCCTTTTTTTTTTTTTTAAGAAGTGGAACAGCTAGGACTTGAACATGTGCCCATATGGGATGTGGGCACTGCAGACAGCAGTCCCTTCCACTATGCCACAGTGCTAGGCCTGATCAGCTACTTCACTTTCAATCCCACTTCCTGCTAATGTGCATTCTGAAAGGCAGATGTTGGCTCAAGTAATTGAATCCCTGCCATTCAAGTGGGAGACTCAGCTTGAGTTCTGTGCTCTTGGCTTCAGTCTGGCCTATCCCTGGCTGTTGCAGGCATTTGGGGAGTGAACTAGTGGATGAGAGCTCTCTCTCCATCTGTCTTTCAAATAAAGAATTTAAGGTAGCTAGTATTTATACTTCTATTCAAATTATGGTTTAAAAGCTGGAATTGGGAACAGAGCCAGGACTTGAACCTAGGCATTCTGATATGGGATACAGGCATCCTAAGGGCATCTTAGGCCAAAAGACTGCCCCAGACCCTAGAAATTTTAGAAGTTCATATTTGTATCACTTTATACCCTATAATCATATATAACTATAAATTATCAATTTACAATGTAAGTAGTACATATGTGGATTGTGTTCATTTTTTACTGGACCACAGTGGTGTAGAGGAAATGCACAGTGTGTTCTGAATATCTGCTTAAAGGATATCGCTTAGATATTAAGTTAAACTGGATAACAACTGTAGGGCAAATAAAGGCTGTTAAAATTATTTTTAGTTGGGGCCAGCATTGTGGTATAGTGGTAAAGCCAATGCCTGTGACACCAGCACCCCTTATAGGTGCCAATTGAGTCCTTGCTGCTCCACTTTGGATCCAGCTTCCTGCTTATGGTCTGGGAAGAGAGGTGGAAAATAGCCCAAGTCTTGGGCTTCTGCCACCATGTGGGAGACCTGGAAGACACTCCTGGCTTTGGCCTGTCCCAGTGCTGGCCATTTGGGGAGAGAACCCATGGATGGAAGATCTTTACCTCTTTCTCTGTATAACTGACTTTCAAATAAATAAATAAATCTTTTTAAAAATTATTTTTAGTAACAATTTCCTAAGTAGTAACCATTGGGAAGTTGCCATCATGTTTGAAAGTAACAAAAACTACAAATAGTATTATGTGAAAACCTGACTGCGAGAAGCAAGAAAAGAACTCCAAAGAATACTTTTAGCATGAATCACTGAGTAGTGAAGATAAGAGAGAAAAGCCATTTCCCTACCTCATACTTAGTGCCTGGGAAACCAGACCATCTAGTTTCAAAAAACTGAAGAATCATTCATGGTTATACTGCATTCCAACTTCTAAAACTGTGAGAAACCTTATCAATACATAATCAAACTGTTGATGAGCTTGTTACTGTGATTTATCTATGTAAGAATGAAGGAAAAGCCGGCGCCATGGCTCAGTAGGCTAATCCTCCACCTTGCGGCACAGGCACACCGGGTTCTAGTCCCGGTCTGGGCACCGGATTCTGTCCCGGTTGCCCCTCTTCCAGGCCAGCTCTCTGCTGTGGCCAGGGAATTCAGTGGAGGATGGCCCAAGTGCTTGGGCCCTGCACCCCATGGGAGACCAAAGATAAATACCTGGCTCCTGCCATCGGATCAGCGCAGTGTGCCGGCCGCGGCAGCCATTGGAGGGTGAACCAAAGGCAAAAGGAATACCTTTCTCTCTGTCTGTCTACTCTGCCTGTCAAAAAAAAAAAAAAAAAGGAATGAAGGAACCTTAGAAATCGGTCACTGCTTGGCTATTTGGAAGAAAAATGGTCATTGATTTTTTAAAAAAAATTTTGTTTGCATCACTGAAGTACTTCAGCATATTGTACAGAAAGAAGTAACAGCATACTCCTCAAGGCAGTAACGCGTATATACTAGCACTAGAAATTCCACACATTTTTCCTGACTTCATATCTGTTGAACAGATATGTGCCAGATACCATGCTTTATATATCAAAAACTATTTATCTCTGCTGTGGCCAGGGAGTGCAGTGGAGGATGGCCCAGGTGCTTGGGCCCTGCACCCCATAGGAGACCAGGAAAAGCACCTGGCTCCTGGCTCCTGCCATCAGATCAGCGTGGTGCGCCGGCCGCGGCGGCCATTGGAGGGTGAACCAATGGCAAAGGAAGACCTTTCTCTCTGTCTCTCACTGTCCACTCTGTCAAAAACAAAAAACAAAAAACCAAACAAACTTTATAATCACCTTTTTTACAGATGTGGAAAACTAAACTTTGAAGAGATTTAGCAATACAAGCAATGTCAGGGGCTTTAAGAGTGGAGCTGGAACCCAGAGAGAACTGGGATCAGGCACAGAAATGAGATAACCTAGGAGCCTTGCTTGCCTCTCTAGTCCCAATCCTGCCAGGCATTTTCAACTCCCTATCCTTAACACTACAGTACTATTTTTCTCTTCAGTGTACCTCAAGCAACTCAAGTATTAGTACCTTGACACTTAGTAGGGCCTTACGTTGAAATTCATTCATACCATACTTCCCATTGAGGTCTAAGTTTATGTATCATCTTATCAAGGTCTTTCCTAATCCTAGAAATTTGGGTTAGGTGTAATTTATCAGCTAGGACTCTAAAGACAGATCTTTTGTATTTTGAAATTTTTTCCCCTAAGAAGGGCTGGTTTCTTCTGTGAAAAGTTGTTAATAACATCTACAACTTAAATAAATCATGTCAACTGCACACTATCTCATTTGGTAGTCAGTACTGAAGTACTTCGTCAAAAATTAAGTACTGCTTTAGTAAATATATCACACGGCATATTTCAGATTTCCAAATCAGAAATTAGGACGGAGTAGGAGGCCATATAATTTCTATTTTCCATGTTTTCAAAAATTTGGATGCAGATTATTATGAATATTGTTCCTAAAGTTCTTTTCTTAGGGTACAGGTATACATTTTCCCAAGTATATTACAGCTTATTTGGTAGCAAGTGGCAGAAATGCAACTCAAACTGGTTTAGGTGAAAAACAGCCATTTATTAGGTTACTAAGGTATCTCATGAAGTTGAACAACCAATAAATGCAAGTGATAATCTATAGCTGAACCTGACAACTGGAACCAGGGATTTCAACAGCTGCAGAAATTGGTCTCTATTTTCTATATGCAAACTTTATTCACTCCTACAATAATCTAATTTACTCAACATAGAAAGGCATTGTCAATCATCAATCCCAGAGTCTCCTGCCTATCAAAGTCCACCACCTGAAATGAACTGATGTAGGCTATGCTAGATCTCAGATCCAAAAATCTTGGAAAAGGATTCTTGGTGGTCTGAAAGTCAAATGCAGGGCACTGGCATTGTGGCACAGCAGGTTGGGCCACTGCCTACAACATTGGCATCCATGTGGGCACCAGTTCAAGTCCTGGCTGTTCCACTTCCAATCCAGCTCCCTGCTATTGTGCCTGAGAAAGCAGCAGAAAACGGCCCAAGTACTTGGGCTCCTGAACACACATGGGAGATCTGGAAGAAGCTCCTGGCTCCTGGTTTTGGCCTGATTAAGCCCCAGCCATTGCTGCCATTTGTGGTGTGAACCAGTGGATGGAAGTTCTCTGTCTTCCCACCCCTACAACTGCCTTTCAAATAAATAACATCACTTTTTTTTTTTTTTCAAGGAAAGCTATCTATTTGACAACAGGGCAAGTACTATATGATGCAACATTAGCCAAAAAAATCTTTTTTTCTAAGAGGAAAAGAAATTAGTTTGACCATACAAACCCATTTTTTGTAATACAGCCAAATTCTATGATATGTCAAGGGATATCTTAGCCTTGTGCTTAACCAAGATTCAATTAAGCAATATATTTTAGTGCCCATGACATGTTCAACATACCAATACTTACTTTATAAAGTGAACTAACACTTGAAGTTTAGAAATCTTTTTCCAAATCAATTTTTCACAAGGATAGTTGCTATATGAATAAAAAATATTTAAGGAGAATGAAGTCTGAAACTAAGAAAATCCATTAAAAAAAAAAAAACCCACACCAATGGTCCAACTGTTTAGTGGGCTCACTTAAAAGTATTTCTTGGGGCCAGCGCTGTGGCATAGCGGGTAAATGCACTGCCTGTGGGGCTGACTTCCTATATGGGTGCCAGTTTGAGCACTGACTGCTCCACTTCCAACCCAGCTCCCTGCTAATGCACCTGGGAAAGCAGCAGAGGGTGCTCCAAGTGCTTGGGACCCCGCACCCACATGGGAGACCTAGAAGAAGCTCCTGGCTCCTGTCTTTGGATCAGCCCAGCTCTAGCCACTGCAGCCATTTGGGGGGTGAAGAAGCTGATGAAAATGCTGTTTCTGCTTCTCTAAATCTGCCTTTCAAGTAAAACACATAAATCTTTAAAAAAGATATTCTGTTAAAAAAAATCAACTCCTTATTTTGGCTGATTGCCTTTTTACAGCAAACAAAATATATTCCCAAGTTTTACAGATATTTAATTAATTGAGAAAAGACACAATGCCCTGGTTTGCAAAGACATCTTTAAAAGAAAATTATTTCTACTTAGCAAGAAATACAACAAATAAACTGTATTTTCAATCCATTTACAAGTTATCAAATTTTCTCATTCAAATTATCTCTTTTGTGTACATTTAGAGAGCCTTTTGGAAATGAATTAAAGGTCTTTGCCTTCTTCACTTTATTGACAAAATCTCGAGATTGCTGTGAAACCTGCAGATAACCACTATGCTTTCTCCTGGGAACAAACTTCAGAGCCTCTTCCCAACTTCCAGAGTTTTTCAGACGTAACAAAATACGCATCATCTGATCTAGGGTGAGATTTTTGGTACCAGCGTCCCAATGTAAATATTTATCTAATGGAAGGCATTCTGTTGCCAGCTTCAGTCGTTTTGCATTGGCTAGGGATGTGCCTGGTTGCATAGCCTTATCAATAAATGATCCAACTACATAAATTTTGTCATGCCTGAAAGTAGTCATAACATTGGGAGAATCTGCAGTTAAATATATAATATCATCCTTTGGAAATAAATCTACATAAGACTTTTCTGTTGCTGTTAAAAACAATTTGTCCCATTTTTCTCCATAACGTTTAACTAACTCTCTATGATAAGCACCATTTATTTTAAGGTTACAGAAATAAATATGGAAAGGATCAATATTTCTTCTGTTACACCCTTCACTTTCTAAAAGTTGAGAAACTGCATTCTGTAGTTCTTTTGGTTTCATATAATTATCATAAATCATGTCAAAAACTAAAGGCTGTCCAAACTGCATGGCCTGAGCACCCTTCCAGCCCATTGCACTGTTTATATTCTTATTCCAAAGTCGCAGAAAAAGAAAGTTTTGCGGTTTATCTTCCTCAGTGGTTTCTAACAGCTTGACATTTTTTGCTTCTTCCCTTGCTGCTGCTTTCATTTCTTTTTTTATTTGCCTGGCTTTTTTCAGGTTTTCCTTAATAAATAAATATTTCAAATATTTCTTTTTTGATGACTTAGAAGGACATTCTATAATGGTTTTAAGCTCTTCTTCAGTGATATGTTCTGGTACTTCTCTGCCAAGCAATCTCCACATTTCAATTAATTCTCTGGTGGCAACTAGAGGATCTTCATCCTTGTCACTGAAGCCCGTTGAAATAGCTTCTTGCACACTAGATTTCATTGTAGCTTTCCACCCATCCAATTCTAGCTGTTCAGGAGCAGATGTACCCTCCTTATTAGGACAGGGCACAGCTGGTATTTTAGAAGACATGCATCTATGCAGAAGTGTTGAACATAAATTCCTTCTCTTCCTATGAAGGGTAAATGGCACCAGAAACCTAGCAAAAGGTCTTAATGTTACACTAACACTCATTTTGAGGAAAACAGACATACAAGAAAATTCCTGCAAAAGAAGAAAAATGCATTTAAAAGACAAAGATTTTTAAGAATTCCCAACTGTAAGTATACATTAGAGGAGCCAAAATATAACCAATTCTGAAATAAAGTAAAATCCCTGTGTTGCATGTTGTTACGTGTTGCATCATTCCCTTTTCCTAGACTCTGGCAGCCAAAAGGCTGTGATCATTCACTGGGCAAAAAGTTTAAAACTTATTTGGGGTCTTATTCTTAAATATGAATCTCATTATTTTCTCCCTCCCTCTCTCTTCCTCCCTTCCTTTCTTTCTAGATTTATTCATTTTATCTGAAAGGCACAGTGACAGAGAAGGAGAGACAGAGACATAGATCTTCTATCTGCTGGTTCACTCCCCAAATGGCTGCAACAGTCAGGGCTGGGCCAGACTGAAGCCGGAAGCCAGATGCTTTATTCTGTACTCCCACACAGGTGCGGGGGCCCAAGCACTTCAGCCATCTTCTGCTGCCTTCCCAGGCGTATAAGCAGGGAGGTGTATCAAAAGTTGAGCAGCCAGAAATTGAACTGGCACTCGTATGGGATGTCAACTCTGGCACAGCGACAGCTCCTCACTATTTCTTTAAGCAAAAAGATACCTCTCAGATACTTTTAAAAACTTATATAGGGGTCAAGAGGATCAATGTACTGGATAACAAAGGTTTTGCACTGCAGATGCAGCTGAGATGCTGCTGCTGTATTCTCAATTCTACATTAAGCCCAGGTACATACCCCAAAACAAGTCCTACATACAACCAATATGGAAGATAAAGGACAGAAAAGCTACAGAAGATGGCAACAGGTGAAAAAGCACTTGAGAGCTGCAGTACAATGCTCATGTTCTCAAATGAGAAATATATAGATATTAATCATATAGATAATTAAAAAATAATGAACTCCTTACTACAAATTTTATTTTGCAGCAAATGTTATTGCTAAATAAAACATACAAAATTAAAATACATACATGCATAATTTTTTATCCTAAAGAACTGGATGGCCAGAAGATGATGAAGACACTTAAAGAAGTGAAACCAGTGTCAAATTTGAAGAAAACAAAAACAAAAACAAAGAATTCAAATTTTTACAAAATGCAACTAGTACACTTAAAAAGAAAAACACCTTTTACTCTTGGCCATTTCAATCACTGTGCGTCAGAAGACACCTCAAAGACCCACATGGGGTTCCTGGCTCCTGGATTTGGCTTGGCCTACCCCTGGCTGACTCTTGCAGGCATTAGGGGACTCAGCCAGTAGATGGATGATCTCTTTCTTTCTCTGTCTCTCTCTGTGCTGTTCTGACTTTCAAAACAAATAAATAAATAACCCCCCCCCCCAAAAAAAGACACCACAAATGCAAGAAATTGAAATCATCTCTCTCCCTTTTTCCCCCCTTCCCAACCTGCTTTTCCTTTTGTGTTCTGTTTCAGAGATGGGCAACTACTGTCCATCCAGCTGCAAAAACTAGAAACTGGAAATCATTTCACTACGGTCTTCTGTCACAATTACCAGACCTAATTCATTTGATGACAAAGGCATTTGAAAAAAATTCATTAAGGGGACAATATTTAGCCTAGCTCCTTTAAAAGAGAAAATCATTTATTTTAGACTCACTGAAATATTTAAGACACAGGATAAGATGCCTACCTTCCACACTGGAGTATCAGGACTCTATTTCCTGTTTAGGTTTCTGATTCCGGCTCCTGCCAAGGCAGATCCTAGGACGCAGTAACGATGGCTCAAGTAATTATGTTCCTGCCATGCAAACGGGAAGACCTAGATTAAGTTTCTGGCACCTGGCTTTAGCCTGACATAGGTGCAGTCCCAGCCACTTCTGACATTTCGGGAATAATCCAACAGGTAAGAGCTCTTTCTGTTTCTCAAATAACTAATTCAATTATTTTTATTTTTATTTTGTAAATATAAATTTCCAAAGTACAGCTTATGGATTACAATGGCTCCCCCGCCCCATAACTTCCCTCCCACTAGCACCCCTCCCATCTCCCACTCCCTCTCCCATTCCATTCACATCAAGATTCATTTTCAATTATCTTTATATATATATATATATATAAAGATATATGTTTTAAGTTCATGGAAGACAGAATTACTTTTTTTTAAAACTGAACATATATTTTACTTTCCAAATATTTGTTTGGATTCTCTTCAGTCCTATACTTATTTATTTGAAAGGCAGAGAGTTAGAGGCAGAGAGATAGAGATATTTTCCATCTGCTGGTTTACTCCCCAAATGACCTCAATGGCAGGAGCTAGGCTCATCTGAAGCCAGGAGCCTGGAGCTTCTTCTGGGTCTCCAATGCTGGTGCAGGGGCCCAAGGACTTGGATCATCCTCTACTGCTTTCCCAGGCCATAGCAGACAGCTGGATCAGAGATGGAGCAGCCAGGACTGGAACCAGTGCCCATATGGGATGCTGGCACTGCCAATGGCGGCTTTACCTGCTATGCCACAGTGCCAGCACCAGTCCTATTTTATCTCTTAGCTTCCAGAATTGCTCTTCCCATCTCCAAGGTGCTTAAGTCAGTGCAAATCTTATCAATGGCATTCATATCATTCCCAAGCAGTATCTGTAACTCTACTGCTGCCAAGTTAAAAAATCACTTATTAATATAGTTTACAAAGTCTGTCACGTTACCATACCTTGTCTACTTATTCAGCTGCACCTCTAGCTATTCTTCTCATACTTTATATGAAGTATTCCTCCTTTTAGTTCTCACAGCACCCTGTGCCTACAAAAGTACTTGTAACACTACTGTAATCACCGGATTATTTTTTTGTCCCATCACATGCTGAGGACTACCTAGCCCATCAGGATTAGAACAGTGTCTACATTGTTAACATTGAACTCATTGCTTGGCAGCATTTGGCTTACATCAAGTAATTTTTTGGAAGAAGTACCTGGGGTCAATGCTTCCTACATTTAAAAAAAGTTCAGATTTCCTTTAAAGAAAAAGATTTACTTCAGTCTCAATCGAAATATTAAATCTGGGGCCCTCAGGCCCCAATCTGATAAACATTAGTCTTTTCTTTTTTTTTTTTTTAATTTTTTTTGACAGGCAGAGTGGACAGTGAGAGAGACAGAGAAAGGTATTCCTTTGCCGTTGGTTCACCCTCCAATGGCCGCCGCGCACCACGCTGATCCGATGGCAGGAGCCAGGTGCTTCCTCCTGGTCTCCCATGGGGTGCAGGGCCCAAGCAGTTGGGCCATCCTCCACTGCACTCCCTGGCCACAGCAGAGAGCTGGCCTGGAAGAGGGGCAACCGGGACAGAATCCGGCGCCCCGACCGGGACCGGGACTAGAACCCGGTGTGCCGGCGCCGCAGGCGGAGGATTAGCCTAGTGAGCCGCGGCGCCGGCCAGTCTTGTCTTTCTAACTAGTGCAAATGTCCAAAATATCTCAGACAAGGAAAGTCAAAATTTAAAAGGAGACCAAGATTATCATCTTACGAAGCACTGCCCTCGTTTCAGATACTGTATTACGTATAGTTTCTTAAATCAACTGGGCGCCCTTCTCTTCGAACCTTCTCGGTGCACAGGCTCCACGAAGCGCACCTTTGAAATGTCTTCCGCGTTCTGCCACCCCGCAACGTACGCAATAAGAGAAAGAAGAAACAGCGCATACCAGGACTGCACACTGCCTTCCGCCACCGCAGAGCACACCGGGGAACCACAAACCGCAGAATTCGGCCCGAAACGCTGCCCACGACTCAGCCACGCAGCCCCCGCAGGTCACTCAGCAGTCCGCACAGTACCCGCCTTTGACCTGAGCGGCAGCCGGAACTCCCGCCCTCTATCTTCCGGCGCTGCCTTCTGACATCACGAGAGGCGGGGAAAGTTTTCTGGGCTCGGCGCCTTGCGCTGGAGCAGGCGGCTGTCAGTAAGCAAGTGGGTATTTGAACGTTTTCCAGCGGCACAGGCGTGTACTTGTTTTTTGTTCTTTATCCCTATTGTATTAAAAACTCATCTAATCTTCTCTTAACGCATTCTCTACTTGGGCTCCGTATTTATAAACATGGGCTCACATAGTGCTAAAATAAAATTAGCATTGCACAAGTCTATCCAATTTCAACTGTTTGAGGAGAGGAGTTTAACTTTTAACCTGTTACTTACCAGTACCTAGTACAATGCTTGCAATATGGTTGTCCACGGTGAATCTCACCTTCTGTCTCTTCCTAGCTCATACGGAAATTTTATGTGAAAATGAAGTTGAAGTACATTTATAAATCTAGCCTTTAGGCAAAAATCCAGGCTGTTTTGTTTAGCCAACACAATGTACTTTGGTTGTCATTTTAGATGGCCATTCATGATGAAAAGGTAAGTCTTTTTAACAAATGATACTGGGAAAACTTGATGTATGCAAACAATGACGTTAAGCTCATCTCACTTAACACCTAATGACCTAAATGACCTAAATAAATGAGCTGGTGCAGCCACTATGGAAGACAGTATGGAGATACTTCAGAAATCTGAATAAAGACTTATATGATCCAGCCACTCCTGAGAATTTACCCAAACCAAATGAAATCAGCATATGAAACAGTTATCTGTACCCCCATATTCATTGCAGCACAATTCACGATAGCGAAGGCATGGAATCAACCCAGATACCCATCAACTCTTGACTGGATAAAAAAATTATGGTATATGTACACAATGGAGTATGATATTCAGCTATAAAAAAAATGAAATCCTATCTTTTGCAACAAAATGGACACGACTGTAAACCATTATACTTAGTGAAATAAGCCAGTCCCCAAAAGACAGATACCATATGTTTTCTCTGATCCAAGGTAACTAGTAGAGTACCTGAAATGTAATTACTGGAGTGAAATAGACATTGTGAGAATTGATGATTGTTTACAGCCCTGTCTCTTCCATTGAAGAACAATATATATTTTTTCTTTTTTTCTTCCTACTATTCATGGAAATCTATTGCTTAGTGTAGTGCTAACTATATCATTAAATGAACTGAAAATAGATCTTTGTAAAAGTTAAGAGAGAGAATATGAGAGGGAAGAGGAAGAAGGGTTGGAGCATAGGTGGGAAGGAGGGTGTTGGGGGAATGTCACTGTGTTCTTAAATCTGTATATATGAAATAAAAGAAACTTGTATGACTTAAATAAACTTTAAAAATTAAAAAAAAGAATGTGAAAAGGAAAAAAAAGCTAAATTTAAGAGCAAAAATTATAAAACAGAAGAAAACACAGGTAAAGCTTTATGGCATTGGATTTGGCGGGTTTTATGAATAAGACAGGAGAGTGTAGGCAACACCAACCAAAAAGAAACATAAACCAGACTTTATAAAAATTGAAAACGTTGTGCATCAAAGGACAGTCTGTTAACACAGTGAAAAGGCAACCCACAGAATGGGAGAAAATATTTCCAAGTCATATCTCTTTAAAGGGATTAATACCCAAAATGTATAAAGAACTTCTACAACTCAGCAACAAAAAGTCAAACAACCCAATTCAAAAGTGGGAAAAAACTTTAAATTTCTCTAAAGAAGATATGCAAATAGACAATAAGCCCATAAAAAGATGTTCAATATCATTAATCATTGAAGTACAAATCAAGACAGAAATCTCTTGTTGAAAATAATTAGAGAAAAACTATTATGGCCCATAGCCAACTGTTTATTTTTTTTTTTATTGTGGTGTGTATTAAAGACTTACTAATTCACATCCATTAAAATGACTATTAGGGGCCAGGATTGTGGCATAGCAGGTTAGGCTGCTTTCTGCAATGCCAGTATTCTAAATGACACCAATTCCAGTCCTGGCTGCTCCACTTCCAATCCAGCTCCCTGCTAATGAACCTAGGAAAGCAGTGGAAGATGGCCGAAGTACTTGGGACCCTGCTGTCACATGGGAGAGCCAGATGGAGTTATAGGCTCCTGGCTTCAGCTTGGCCCAACCCCAACCATAGTGGCCATTTGGGGAGTGAACCAGCGGACAGAAGATTTATTCATTTTCTCTCTCTCTGTCTCTCTCTTCTTTTCTCTCAAGAAAGTAAATAAATCTTAAAAAGATCACTATGCGGCTGGCGCTGTGGCGCAGTGGGTTAAAGCCCTGGCTTGAAGCGCCAGCATCCCATATGGGCGCTGGTTCTTGTCCCGGCTGCTTCTCTTCTGATCCAGCTCACTGCTATGGCCTGGGATAGCAGTAGAAGATGGCCCAAGTCCTTGCGCCCCTGTGCCCACGTGGGAGACCAGGAAGAAGCTCCTGGCTCCTGGCTTCATATCGGCGCAGATCTGGCCGTTGCAGCCATCCTGGGAGTGAACCAGCAGATGGAAGACCTTTCTGTCTCTACCTCAATCTTTTTTTTTTTTTTAAAGGATCACTATTAAAAAAAAACTAGAAAATACTAAATATTGGCATGAATGTGGAGAAATTGGAAACCTGTGTGTTGCTGATAAGAATGTAGAATGTGCAGCTGCTGTGAAAATCAGATAGTAGTTCCTCAAAAAGCCAAACATAAAGTTAATGTTATGCAGCAATTCTCATAAGCATGTACAGAGGAATTGAAGGCAGGGACACAAACCTTCCATCCGCTGGTTCACTCTCCAATTGGCCACAGTGGCCAGAGCTGCGCTGATCCGAAGCCAGGAGCCAGGAACTTCCTCCTGGTCTCCCTCACGGGTGCAGGGGCCCAAGGACTTAGGCCATCTTCTGCTTTTTCAGGCCACAGCAGAGAGCTGGATAGGAAGTGGAGCAGCTGGGACTAGAACTGGTGCCCATAGGGCATGCCAGCACTGCAGGCGGCAACTTTAACTGCTATGCAACAGCACCGGAAAAGGGCAAGTATTGTATGATACCACCCTTATGAGGTAACCAGGAAAATTTTAGAGAAGGGGAAACAAGGGAAAAATAATGGTAAACCGTGGACTATAACATAGTCTTTCCCAAATGATTTTCCAAAAACGTCTTTTGTGTAAGAGACTGGCTATTATCATGTCGGAAACAGAGGCAGGAAAAGTAGATTAATAATGAGTTTTCTCCCAAACGTGGAAGGAAAAATCAAGGATAAATACCTAGAGGACCTGTGCTGTGGTGTAGAAAGTTGAGCTTCCACCTGCAGTGCTGGTATCCCATATGGGTGCTGGTTGGAGTCCTGGCTGTTCCACTCCCAATCCAGCTCCCTGCTAGTGCACCTGGAAAAGCAGTAGAAGATGGCCCAAGTATTTGGGCCCCTGTACTCATGTGGGAGATCCAGGAGAAGCTGCTGACTCCTGGCTTTGGCCTAGCGCAGCCCTGGCCATTGTGGCCATTTGCGGAGTGAACCCGCAGGTGGAAAATCGATCTCTCTCTCCCCTTCTCTCTGTATGTCTGCCTTTCAAATAAAGAAATAAATCTGTAAAAAAGAATAAATATCTAATAGTTTTCTTTAATAGCAAAGATTGAGACTCCCCCCACCCCAGTCTTAAAGAGCATATGTCTGAAGTTTTTCAATTAAGTATATTTCCTTAAGGTTTTGATACATAATATTTACCTGGAAAATAAAGTTTATTTCTCAAGTTTTTTTGTGTGACAAATCTTTGGAAGCATCTGTAAAAGTACATATAGCAAAATGTTATTTATTCACTGTGTCTGGGATCTAAAGTATTCCAGATTAAGAATATTTCCATGTGTTACCTCAAAATAGAAGAACAGGCCTGCGCCACGGCTCAGTAGGCTAATCTTCCACCTAGCGGCGCTGGCACACAGGGTTCTAGTCACGGTCGGGGCACCGGATTCTGTCCTGGTTGCCCCTCTTCCAGGCCAGCTCTCTGCTATGGCCAGGGAGTGCAGTGGAGGATGGCCCAAGTCCTTGGGCCCTGCACCCCATGGGAGACCAGGATAAGTACCTGGCTCCTGCCATCGGATCAGTGCGGTGCGCCGGCCGCAGCGCGCTGGCCTCGGCGGCCATTGGAGGGTGAACCAACGGCAAAGGAAGACCTTTCTGTCTCTCTCTCTCACTGTCCACTCTGCCTGTCAAAAAAAAAAAAAAAAATAGAAGAACAATGGTTTAAAAAATGTGTTTTGGGGGCCAGCACTGTGGTACAGTGAGTTCAGCTGCTGCCTGCAATGCTGGAATCCCATATGGGCAAGTTTGAGTCCTTGCTGTTCCACTTCTGATCCAGCTCCCTGTTAATGTGCAACAGAAGATGACCCAAGTGCTTGGGTCCTGCACCCACTTGGAAGACTTGGATGAAGCTTCTGGCTCTTGGCTTCAACCTGGCACAGCACTGTCTGTTGCAACCATTTGGGCAGTGAACCAGCAGAAGCAAGATCTCTTTTTCTCTGTAACTTGGCCTTTCAAATAAATAAATAAATCTAAAAAAATGCATGTGATTATATAAGAAATTACTTGTAATATGGGACATAAGGAATTGTAAGAAATAGATTTTAGAAGCAAACAAGCAAACAAAAATCCATAAAACAATTTTACATAAAACCTTGAATTAAAAAAGTAGACGATCTGATAGGCCTTGGCCCAAATTTTGGCTTAGAAACAACTGGTAAATCTAAATAAAAGCTGCTTCATAATCAAGGCACTTGCTCTCAAACTCTTCACAGCTCATTCTATCACATGTCCTTTTTCCTACACTGGCATAAATGTAATTTGCCTCTTCTATTGAGTAGAGGACTACTTCTCTATACTGATGTCTCAAAGTTGGAAGACAGAGCATGTGTTTAAAGGTCTAGGTGTTTCTTACAGTGTAGAGACCTCTTCTGTTTGATTCTCTGCCAAACTCACAGCATATAAAACAGTTCCTAGCATAGAGTGGGAATTCAATAATTATTTGCCAAT